CTCGGAAACGGCTCTCTCTGTATAACTGATTTTTTTAATCCTTACTCTTTTTTTTTACTTTGTTATTTTTACAGTAAACAGTCACAATTAAATGAAAAAGAAGATCGATAGCTAAAATCAATTTTTTTGGTATGGTGTCGTAAAATAAATTTTGGTACCACATGGCTCAATATGTTCTTATTGTACATCAGGTGTACTTTGGTAGAAGTGCAATCCATCCATATGCTGGCAAAATTAAGTTGAATGTCCTTTAATTCTACAAGAATTTATAAATGTTAAAAAAATAAGAATATACGTGTGTATTTTTCAAGTCAAATTGGATTATATGTGATTGATACTAGCATGATTCATTCTTTATTCGTGTTAGTAGATTGTCTCAGTTTTAAGTTTGTGTCGAGAATTAATTAACCTTAACATGTCGGATCATTTTGAATTGGTACTATATTGACGTGTCATAATAAAAAACATCTCCATTCACGTGCGGCCCGAGATATTTTGGAACCTAAATTAGAAACAATAAATGACACATTTTTATTCTTAATATTAATAATAAGTTTAATTTTTAATTTTTTTAAATACAAAAATATTAATTAAAATTTTATATTCAAATTTTTGTTACCATATTTGAATTTAATAATAAGAGAGAGAAAGAATAATTGAAATATTATGATGGTAATTTTAAACATGACTTTTTAAAAGTTAAAANGAGAAAGAATAATTGAAATATTATGATGGTAATTTTAAACATGACTTTTTAAAAGTTAAAATTAAATTTTTAAATTTGGACTATTACTGTATACATATAAATTATAGGTCTTCCTTTAAGTGAGACCTTAATTTTTTTTTGATTGGACTTGTATTTTTATAATATTTTTTTGTAAGGCTTAAAATATTTATAGATTTAATTTTTTTATATGAACTATTTATGATATTTAAAAATTCGGAAATTTTTTTAAAAAATAGGGCGTAAAGCCTAAGTTTTTTTAATAATACTGTTGAGCCGCCCCCTATCTCCATTATTTATATTACTTGACCAACAACATCATTTGGTAATGAATATCGTGACAAGGGGTGTACATGGGCCAATGAATTTTTTTCAGTTGGGCATGGGTAGTATAAGCCCAAGTTTTTATCGTGTGAGTTATCGATGTGTCAAGTTGGATTTCAAGTATTGATAGACTACCCCTAACTCAACCCGACACTTATTGAATAGGCTTACGCTCAATCCTCTTCTTTTATATATACAACTTCATTTTAAAATATAGTCATTTTTTGACTGCTGTTCTTGTTCTTGAAGCATGTGCTGTGTTTGTTCAAAAAGAAAAAGAAAAAGCGTGTGCCAATGTGTATGTGCATTTTTAACAAAATCAAAAAATGACCCCACCTTATAATAAATTATAAAATATGCCACCTACTTACCTAATTTGACATTTTTGTCAAAACAAAGTGGGTGAACGGGCGAGTTGGGCAAAGCTTAACATGGCAGACGGGTCTTTGGGCTGGACAATCAGACCAATCGATCTTTGGACATATTTTTTTGAGTTAGGTAACAGGTCTCATAGATCAACCCGATCCATGATCACCCCTGATCATAAATCAATAACAAAATATCATATGCATATAATAGTGTGCTCCACATATACATATGTCGTAATTTTTTTTTTTTTTTTTGTAACAGAATGTGGAATGTATTCATTGATTGAAATGTAAACAATTACACTCATTCTGAAGAATTGCCTTTAACCCAGGAGGTTGGCAACTCCTCTAGTACAGAGAGAGTGAGTTTGCTAATTTAGACGTGGCGACCCAGTGCTCTGCCTTGTTCAGATTTCTGGGTGTATACTCAAACTGCAGATGCATCCTTCTAGCACAACACCTGATATCCTCAATAAAGGTTAAGATCTCCCATGAGGGGTCATTCTTGTTGGCACTTAAGAGTGATTGCCACTGGGTTATCCCCTTGGATTATGACATTTTCCAGCTGCATACTCATAACCATCAGCAATGCTTCCCTCACAGCGGCAGCTTCGGTACAGCGGCTGGAAGTAGCTGGGATCTTCAGTGCTTTCCCCTCCAGTAAGTTACCATTGGAATCGCGCAATATCACTCCTATTGCTGCCTCCTCTTTGGATTTTATAAATGTGCCATCATAGTTAAACTTCACACTATTGGTGGGAGCAGGGCCGGCTCAATTGAAAGACCACTTAAGCAATTGTTTAGGGCCTTAAAAGAGTCCTAAAAAAAAAGAGGGTCCTCAAATAATAAGTATAATCTTTAACTGTAATTTAAATTTGTCTAAAAAATTTTGATTTAAAGGTCCAATCTAATGGAAATTCTTTCAAGGCCTATATACTAAAACAAAGACCCAAATAAAAAAAAAAAAAAAAAAGACCCAATTCACATCTCTCTCACTTTTTCCAACAGTTAGAAGACTTGAAAATTCTCAAAAAAGCAAAAATTAAATTTTCACAATTAAATCATAAAAGTCTATTGTCTGCCCTCCTCGTCCCCTCTCTCTCTCTCTTCAAGCAAAAAAAGTTTATATTGTATCTCTCTCTTACAACTTAGATTAAATTGAAAAAGTACATATTTGTTTGATTAGTAATTTAATTTTTTAATATTTTTATTGATAGGATTAATTTAATGTAATTATTCTTTTTTATTGTAAAAGTCTAAAATAATAAATGATTTGAAAGGCAAACAAGTCGTCAATTCAAAGCTAATATAATTTTTATTTATCAGGTGGTATTATTTAATTTTTATTGACTTTTATAAGATATTATATTGTTCTCTTAGTATAATTATTTATTATTTTAAAATATATTTTATTCAAAATAATTTTTAGTTTGAAATATGTCAAGTTTTTAAAAAAATTAAAACTCATAAAATTTTACTTATTATCAACTATAGAACAAGAAAGATCGAATGAATTAATCATATTATCCATTGAAAAAGATATACTAGCAAAACTCAAATATAAAAATTTATTACTAATTTTGCATCACAAAAAATAAAAAAATAAATTATAAATAAAATTTTAATCATACAATATATTTTGTTTTGATAAATTTTGGTAAGCCCCATTTAACACTTTCACTTAGGCCCAGTTTTAATTGGGCCGGCCCTGGGTGAGGAGAGGTTGACACGCATACCATAATGCTCCGACTGTTTGATAGAACCGAATTGCCCCCATGGTTGTTTCGAGATCCGCAACACCGACATTGGGTTGGGTTCTTTGTCTTCAATGATTTTCATATGCTCCACGCAGTTGTGGTTATCTTACTTAGAAGAAGGAGGCAGTGTTCTGGGCTTACCAGTAAATCCAACAGTTGAGTGTACCATTACGTTAGAGATGGAATTTGTTGCTCCATACCCAACCAAACACTATGAGTCCATCTGCAGCCCAAAAACATAAGTTCCACTGTCTCAGTTCCTCTTTTACATGTTGGCGAGGTCGCACACTTACATCTATACGTCGCCAACGCATTGGAACATGCTCTCCACCAGAAATGACGCACTTTGGGAGTAATTTTCAGCTTCCAAATCAGTTTCCAAACCTTCGGGTTTGGTCTGCTTGATGATTCCCCCTGACCAATAGATCTAGCCTCCAGTATCTTCTTTGCTACGTGATAACCCCATACCCAGGCTAGCCTTAGGATGTGTGTGGGTTATATGGACACTATGCCACTTTTACTTTTAACCAGAAGTGTTGTAATTGTTTTCTGATAGTAAAAATAAAAGGGCCTAGACCCTTTTGGGGACTTCAAGAAGTCAGAGTTGGGATGGTAAATTGACTTTAATAGCCTGGAACTATAGGAGTTGGGTTTGGTGATTATTCTTCAACACTGTTTTGCAAGAGAGTAATGCTCATTAATTCTTCAGCTATTTGGCATTGGCACCATTAATTTCCAGCTTTAATAAAAAACAAAACACTAAACAAAAGACTCATACTACACCAATCAACTTTGTTGTTTTGATCTTATAAATTAATTCCCAATCTATTGGTAATCAAGTCTCTATGTAACTACCACCGAGTGAGGTGGTGGGGTACTGGCCGAATTAGGTTCGTTTCCGAGAGGAATAACGAATGCATTAAGGGGCCTCATGATCTCACCGATGAGGGCCTATCGCGGTAGTTTCTGGGCACTCTTATTTATCTTCGCCCCTTTTTTTATCAACAACAAAAAAAAAAGTGTCTATATATCTTATCCAAACTAACTTTACTAGATGCAAGTTTAATCAAGTTAAGATCAAGATTAACAAGTAATTATGCCATTAACATTGGTTTATTCAAATAGGCTGGGAATTAAGTTAAGCTAATAAACACCACCAAATTTACCAAAAAAGAATAAAAATTGACACTTACAAGTTGTCAACTGTAAGCTCACCTCCCCTTCTTTCCCTTGTCTTCTTCTTGGTTGTTCCAACAGAAATTAGCATAATTATACATTATTTTAATTACCAAATTAATATCAAGATCATAAACAACAAAAAAATATGCAAACAAATATTAAATAACAACTAATTTAGAATAGAATAAAATAAAGACTATAAATCAAAAAGAACTAACGTATGAATCCGAGAGTCGTGTGAATATTGTCTTAAAACAGTTGGGTCTCTCCGCGTGAGGGTGTTAACGGACATTAGTGACTCTAAGATCATATCCAAACACTTGCAGTAGCACCTCCTCAATGATCACGCACTACTGAAAGATAGAGATAAACCTAATTCGAATCGAAATTATCCAAAAATACAAGAGAGTATAAAATAATTATTCAGACGTAATAATGTATATATAAAAGTTGGTGGAATTGATTCTTGGTTGATGAAGAATTTTAATGTAGAATAAAAAAGATGGCCAACCGTGGTAAAGGAAAACAAGGATGGTAAGGTTACTGCCAAAAGAATATCCCAAAAAATAGTTTCCATAAGCACCGGTCCTTGTTTAACTCCAATGAGTTTTCTAAACGAGCCGAGTTAGTTCGATTATTTTACAAATAAATGAATCGAGTTTTACAAGTTCGAGTCGAGTCTTTTTAAACTCGTTTTTTTAAATTAATTTAAAAAATTATGTAAATTTTACTCGTTTAGAAGACGAATCGAACTCATATCGAGTTCAAAACAAATCAAGTCCAAATAATTTAATTCAATTATTAGTCCTACTTAGAATTTGCCTTCCCTCAACTTCCAGCCGGCCTTCCTTATGGAGTGATATCTATTTAATTCACGCAATTCACACCTGGTAGTTGACTAGGAGATCAAGCACACTCACAAGAAATTTTTTTTCCCTTCTAGCCATGACAAGACTATTATGTATATTATCTATATAATAAAGTACAATATAATTTAAATTTTAAAAGATAAACAAAATAATTTTTGCTATTCGTGATTGAGATCTTATTCAATTTTATTTTAAAGTTAATCTGACGGCTAATATTAACACTCCAAATTTAATAAGGAAAATAGGTCTCTAAGGATATGTTTGAGGTGATTTTTTAAAAATATTTTAATATTTATAATTTTTCATAAATACTTTAAATAAAAAAGTAGTGTTTGGAATTACCCCACCACCACCACTACCATCATCACCACTAACCCCCCCTCCACCACCATTACCATTACCACCACTACCACCCCACCCCACCACCAAACTATCCCCTCACCATCATCACCACTGCCACTATCACCTCCACTGTCGTCACCCCATCACCACTACCAATGTCACCACCCCACCACCATAACCCCACCCACCGCCTCACCACCATTATCACCACTAACACCACCCTCCGCTCCTTACCATCATCATCGCTGTCGTCACCATACCACCCCTACCATCACCACCGTTGCCACCCCACCACCACCACCACAACTGCCCAACTACCACCATTCCCATTACACCCACCACCACCATCGTCACCGCCACCCCACCACTATCGCCGCCCCCACCCCACCACCACCGTCACCTCCACCCCACCGTTGCCACTGTCGTCACCCCACCACCACCTTTGTTACAACAACCACCACTACCCCTTACTATCACCACCGTCGCCATGACTACTGCCGCCACCTGACCACCACCACCATTACCCCTATCCCTCGACCACCACCGTCATAGTTGTTAAAATCGTCCGATTTATGAGTCGAATTGTACGATTCAGTTCGATTTATGGGGTGGACGATTCGAATCTTATGGTTGAATTGATTTGGGTCTGGAATCGGAAGTGAATCACACGAATCGTACGAACCAAACCGAACTTGATGTATCATACGATTCGTTCTTTTTTTTTTAAACCAACGTAGACGTCAAAATGACGTCGTTTTGACTGCTTGGGCAATCAAATGACGTCGGTTTTTGCAAGGACCCCAGCCCTAATAAATAAGATACAAAACTTTGTCTCTTTCTTGTTTTGCCGAAGATCATTTTCTGTTGAAGAAGACCCACCACACCACGCTGAAGCTTCATCAGCTCTGAGGTATGTCTCTGCCCTTTCTTCTTCTTCTTCTTCTTCTTCTTACCAGCAACCAAACAGTGACAGCCTTAAGCAGGCCTTACGTCTTCTTCAAGTTTTGCTCTGTTTTTATAAAAACTATGCTCTGTTTTTTTATTGTTGTAGCTTTTTAGTTTCTTAATTTCTATTTTTTTTCATTGTTGTGGCCTGTAGGGGGAGGATTTTGACGTTATGAATTAGGGTTTCTGTATATAAACAATATGAATGTGGGTTTCAAACTTCAAATGATGCTTTGATTGTCACTTTATCAATGCTCTATTTTTTCAATGTTTTACTGTAATTTCTTATTTTCTTTTGTTTTTTCGTTGTTGAGTCAGTATGATTCCATGGTCTTGGTTGTTTTAGGTGTTTGTAGTTATCCATGGAGTATTGAGTTATTTTGGGTGTTTGTGGCTGTCCATGGAGTGTTGATTTGTTTTATGTGTTTGTGGCTGTCCATGGAAAAGTTGTTGCTTGTTGGTTTGATGTTCTGTAATGTTGTTGGTTTGATGTCCATGGAAAATTCTATAATTTTCTATTATTTGCTTCTTGTAAATTGTAATAACTATATGTTCTAAATTATATGTTCTATTGTTTTTTTTCTCTTTTCAGTTGTTGTTGTTGTTGAAGACTTGAAGTTGAAAATGGTAAAAAAGAATATAAAAACGAAGCAGAAAAAGAATGAAGATCCAACATGTGATCATTTTTCTCGTGTGGGTGATAATAGAATGCATTTGAAGTGTAATTATTATGGCCTTGACAAATGGGGTGATGTGAGTAGAATGAAACATCATTTTGTGGGGACTTGTCATGATGTAGCACCTTGTACCCAATGTCCACCGGATGTTATAGAAAAATTCTCCCAAATGTTGGAAGGTGCGAAAGGAAAAAATGAGGATCCTAATGAATGTTGCATAGAGGATGTTGAAAGGGGGACCCAAACCATGGATGCTTTTGTGATCAAAGGCAAGGGGAAATGTGCTAGAGGAAGACAATAAACATTAAATGAATTAGTGAAAAAAAGAGAACCGGTGGTTCAAGACATATGTCGTTTCTTCTATGGACATGCACTAGCTTTCAATTTAGTTAAAAGTCCATTGTTGGATAAAATGATGAAATCGGTTGGTGAGTATGACAAGGGATTAAAACTCCCTAGCTATCATGAGGTTAGAGTTACTTGTTTGAAGAAAGATGTGGAAAATGTGAAGTTGAGTTTGGATAAATATAGAATGGAATGGAAGAAAAGTGGGTATACTTTGATGTCGGATGGGTGGACCGATGAGAAACAAGGTTCACTCACAAACTTTCTTGTTAATAGCCCTAGTGGAACGGTGTTTCTTAAATTCGTGGATACTTTCGGGGTTATAAAGGATGCTAATAAGTTGTTTGAGTTACTTGACTCAATTGTTGAGGAGATTGGAGAGGAGAATCTGGTTCAAGTCGTGACGGATAGTGCTTCGGCTTATGTAGCCACCAGTAGGTTGTTGGAGGACAAGAGGAAGAAGTTATTTTGGTCTCCTTGTTCTGCTCATTGCATTGATTTATTGTTGAGTGATATTGGTGATTTGCCAATTTTTCGTGACACCATTTCAAAAGCCAAAGAAGTTACACTTTTTATTTATAGGCATAGTTGGGTACTTAGTAAATTTAGAGAGTTTTCGAACAACATGGAACTGACACGTCTGGCAATTACAAGATTTTTCACTACATTTCTCACCCTAAAAAGCTTTGATGATAGAAAGTTTTGTCTTCGACGCATGTTTTCATCAGAAGATTGGGCTAATGGGCCTTTTGCTTCAAAGATTGATGCTAAAAAAGTGAAAAATATAATTTTGTATGATCAAAAATTTTGGAAAGCAATCAAGTATTGCTTAAAATCTATGATTTCACTTGTTAAAGTATTGAAGTTAGTTGATGGTGATGCTAAACCGGCCATGGGATATATATATATATATATATATAAAACAATGGATAGGGCTAAGGAACAAATTGCTCAAAATTTCAAAGAAGAGGAAAAAAGGTATGAAAAAATTTGAAAGATTATTGATGATAGGTGGAACATGCAACTTCATAGGCCACTTCATGCGGCGGGGGTACTTTCTTAATCCCAAGTAAGTTCACAAAAACACTTCCT